GATAGGTGAGTGATATCAAGAATATAAAAATACTTAGAATCATGAAGTGGAAAAAAACAAAAGAAAGTCGTTCAATTTAATACGACTGAATGGATCTCGAAGAAATTTGGCATAAACTTAGAGAACAGTTTGAAAGAATACATAGGCTACTCACTTTTGTTTTTTTAATTTCACTCTGACAGAGTCGGAGGCAAAGGCTAGTTTAGAATAAGTACCGCCGTCTCCTTTGCATCTGTTGTAGTTGTGTTACAGATAATGTCTCATCATGGCTGCAACAGACAGCGCGATTGTCGCGAGCTTACACTGTCTAGACAATTTACGACTGAAAATCTTTGAAGACATCTCTTGTCAATAAAGAAAGATAAAAATAACACTTATTGGTACATTTTAAAAATATATTTAAACGTATATCATGAAGCTCTATACATATTTATAGGAGTATTTACTATGTCCGCGTGGGGGCGCTGATTCACACGTGGACGGAATGTTAATTTCGCACTCGCGTGCATTTATAATTCTGTCCGTTGCGTCGCAATGAATACCTGTGATTCAATTAATTCCCATTATTTTAAAAATTCGATCAATAATAGCGAATGAATTTAACAATTTGTTAAAATTCATTTTCATTTCTATGTTTATTACGAATGGTTTTTCACGTTTTTTTTTGTAACAAGTCTATTTAATTATTTTAAGTACCTAAATCCATCTACGAAAATAAGCCAAGCTATAAGCTTAATCTATTTAATTTACAATCTGCAGCTCATTTAAAATGAATTACTAGATTTTTACTAATCTCTTTACAACGTTGCGAATTAAATCCAGCAGCGGGTGCACTTTCTAACCTAATGAATAATAAATCGCAGACAAAAAACAAATCAGTGAAAGGCTAACGGTCTCGTAATACAACCAGCATTGACTTTCTTAATACATCTATTTATTTTTCAATATTAATGTAGGTAACAAAATTTCTCCGATGTAATTCACAAACTAGAAATACTATAAACACTTTAGAATTAAAACTAAAACATCACTAAGTTAACGTTTAACGGAAGGTTATGTTATAAGAAACACACTCATAAAGTGTTTTCACATAAAAGCATAGCGTAATCGAAAATGAACACAAACAAATGCGACATTTCGCCATTCAACCGAAAATAAAGCTCGTAGTGCAACCCGCCCGTGTGTTCTCATCGTTAAAAACATATCAATTGGCAATATATTTGCGGACCCGTATGTGCTTTGCTAGCAAAATAACCTTGCCCAAACGGTATATACCTAGATTTATTCTATGACTAGGTTTCGCCCGCTGCACAGAACACAACACAGATGGAGCGAGACATAATGACCTTGGGCCGATAAGATATAATATTTGAAAAGAACTATATTTAATGTAAATTGAAAAACATCGTACAGTTCTGATTAATACATTAAGATTTAGAAAGTAGAAATAGAATAACTAGTAATAGTTCACAAGAGAGGCTATATTATATTTTTTTTTACTGTTGCTTGAATTTGGAATGTGTCTTGGGATAAAATATGATAATAGTAATTCAAAGTATGTCTTCACACATCAGGTAACTTCCACCACTCGGTGGGACTAGGCCTGCTGGAGGGCTTGCGGGCGCGCTACGGAGACCTAGTACGGTTGGCGAAGGCCTCCCGCAAGAGACCTGTACTCTATGTCTTCGATCCCGAGGTCATGAAAGAGGTAAAGTACAAAGGTAGATAATTAACATTTTCGTAAACACCTAAGGTATATAAAATTCACCACTGGCAAAAATAAACAAAATATAAACGTGAATAGATAATGTGTCTCATTGTCTGTCGTACTGGGAATTAATGACCGGTAAACACGTGATAAATCCTTTGCAAAACAAACAACACCATTCTAGTTATCAGCCGGAGTATACACTTTATTATAGATCTATACTATTATAATAAAGCGTAAACATACAATTTTTTGTTGCCTAAGATGTCAGCAATTACAGCATATTTTCGAATAACTCCTTTTTTAATAAAAAGCCCTACACTTACGTCACGCTTTAGGCTATATATTTTTCACGCCATTAAACTTAAAGGGTAGATATTTTGCATAAAAACCCTAATGTGGGAAAGAGATCATAAGTTGCTGCCAACATCAAGAAAGAAAGATTGCTAAGGTCATGTCATGTCATGTCATTTTGACATTTGCTATTGATAATTTGACAAATGTAAACAATAAAATAAAATTTTCATAATTTGATGCGGATGAAGTCGCACGGGAACAGCTAGAGAACAGCTTACTTTATACATTACACGAGTACATTCATTGAATATCTCATCTCATACAATAACATCCCTCGTTACGGATAACGTTACAACTCATGTTTGTTTTATTTCAAAGAATACTAATAAAGCGGCTGTGGCTTATTTAAGCAGTTGATTTGTTACATTCAGGTCCTTGGTTCGAATCCGGCCATGTACCAATTTGATTTTCGAATATCATTTGTTTGACCAGACATCAAAAAACAACATCAAATCAACCCGCAGTTCAAGATGGTTAAGTATAGTTTAGTCCCCTTTAACTTAAGAGAGGCTTCTCCCCTTAGTAGAGACGTAATATATAATTTCACGTACACTTACATAAGTTGATAATATCCTAGTTGTAAATCTTTTTTTATTTGTTACTCAATTACAAAAGGTTAATAAAAAACATGTAATAAATCTGCGGTTTATCACATTGACGTAGTCGCGGGTCGTATTGTGGTCATATTTTATGTATCTTAGCTTGCACTATCTCTTTGCACTACATAGCTTGCTATCAATAGCTACAGTTTTATTGCACAGATAAACAAAACCGGTTTTTGTTGTTTTTATAATTCCGGTACCAAAATTATTAGATCGCAGTTTACTTTCAAATTATCAAGTCTCTTCATAGTACTTCAAGATAATCTAATAATAATTTCTGTATTAACTACGTTCTATTTTTATCTATCTATACTAATATAAAGAGAAAACATTTGTATCTTTGGATTTTTGTATGTATTGAAATAACACAAAAACTACTGGACCGATTTAAAAAATCTTTTACCATTACAAAGCTACGCTAAAACTAAGATAAATTTCACTTAGACGAAGTCGCGAGTAACAGATAATTCTAAATATAACCGTAAAATATATTAAAACGCGGACAAACAACCGGTTGAACTTTGTGCACGTGACATTACAGATAAACTGTATGAAAATTTCTTAAATAGACGCAATGTCCTATTTAGTTCATGATAATTTATTTTACTACTATGTATATACACCCGAATTATATATACCTAGTTAACATTTATAGAAATTCAATTAAAAAAAAACATCCAATTTCCCAACATCTTCAAACTTGAAGAAGCAATTCTTTACTTACTCCTCCATAATGTATGAAAACTTTATGCTAATTTTACCCTCGTCATCAAATGCTGGGTCACTGTCCAGGCCCGGCGCGGCGCAGTTTTGGCTTGTAAACAATAGCACATAAATCACTTAGATAACTGGTACAATTCAATCGCACGCACCCGCACGTGTCTCTCGCGTGCTACCAACGTGCTTTATTATTGGAAATTTAAATCAATAAATCACACTAAGTGTACAACGTTAAGAATCAAATTGGTTTGCAATTTGCAATTTGTCATTACTATGATTTAGATTACAGATTCGTATTTAAGCAGTAAAATAATTGTTTTATAGGTGTACGAGAGTAAAGTGACACAGCCACCGCAGTGGGAACGCTCGCCGCTACACGAACAACGAAGATGTGCCGCTAACCAGCAAAGGTGCGTGGTAAAGAATTAAAAAAAAAGCTGATAGAGATGTATGGAGTAGATATTATGTTTATTTACCAGGAACATTTATAAGTAAGTTTACAATTAAATAACCTATCTTGATATATGTTCCATTTTGCAGCGATGAGACGAAAGAAATCTGGTCAGCGGTTCGCACATTGCTACAAGACGGAACTCTTCACAACAACTACAATAAAGTATTCGACGACATCGCGGCCGATCTCACACGACGGTACATTTAACGTCATATAAACATCTGTAAATACAATTGTTAATGCAAGTATTTATAAAGAGGATGTGAAAAACTTTTGCAGTCTTGGTGAACTCCGTTATCTGGAAAATGCATTGAACGATGAGATATCAACGGAGTTGTACCGATGGTCGCTGGAGACGCTCGGCGCGATGCTATTCGGCATCCGACTGGGCTGTCTGGATGGTCCGGCACACGTCCCCACTGATGAAAACAGGTATTACAACTGACACATAGGTTATGAGGGAAACCAAATTCAATAGACACGTCCTGTTTGTCCAACATCTAACCATCTTGATATTACTTGTAGAAATCACCAGCAGAAGTTTAAGGCCCTAAACGAAGGTCTTCCGTCTTACTACTAACAATAGGTTTTAGAAATACTCCGAAAAACTGTTATTGACTCGACTATTTTCCCAAGCTGAAGTTATAAACCTTATTACTACTGTATTTCTAGAGCTAAAGAGAGGACGTCTCTGGATGATGACACGCCGGAGCTATGTTCTCTTTCGAAGCGTTGTAACGACGAGCTGACGCCCGCGGAGCGGCTGGTGCGGTGCAGTCTGCAGGTGGCGGGGAGTGGGTACCTCGTGCGCTCGGAGCACACGCTCAGGAAGGACTCGGACGCATTCAATAGTGCCATACAAGCCTTCGACGCGCATTACAGGTAATATACAAACGGCTGATTTTTATAAACTAAACGCAATGTTAGGCTAAAATCCCATGATGGATACCAAAAGAGATCGAGTACTTAAAAAGACTAAGTAAAAATACGTAAGATAAACCTAATACAAAGTTCTTTGCACACTCGAATGTGAAAGGACCCTTTGATTTATTGTCTATAGTTGATTCTAACATATATCATTAATGAATGATTATTTACAGTTTAACGGAACACTTCCTACTACAAGCTGTTCAGTCCTTGAAGCCAGGCTCGCTGCGGCCGGAGCAGGCGCTGCTCGATAGGTTGCGCCCACTACAGGAGCGCCTGCTGCCGCTCGCCGCCGACGTGCTGCTAGCTGGGGTTGAACCTGTGAGTATTACTGGGAATTCGATTTACCAAAACTCTATGCAATGTCTATCGATAAATCCTATTCTTTTATTTTAGTTTTAAGAATTATAAATTGATTTCATTCATTTCAAGATTACAGTAGATAACCGATTTACAGTTATTTGGTGTACTTTAACTATTCATCTATTTTCTACGTTAGAGGCTTGACTTTATTTGCTTGTTTAGTTCGTAGTATTTTGCTTCAATTTCAGGAATACTTGTGTCGGAGATATTATGCAACAATTGGTCTATATTTAAATTGTTATTATGTTCCTTTAGCTCGCACAAACAGCGCTGAGCATGTTCTACCAGCTGTCGCTGCACGCGGCGCAACAGCAGCGCGCACACGACCAGGTGTCGTGGGGGGCGGCGGCGCGCGAGGCGGATGCTTCTCACGATTCCTGTGTACGCTTGCCCTACCTACACGCCTGCGCCAGCGAAGCCCTGCGGCTGTTCCCTGCTACCGGGGGCGTGGTCAGACGCAGCACAGAGGATATGGTTCTAGCTGGTTATGAAGTACCCGCCGGGGTTAGTGTAGTTTTTGGGACTGATACATGTAAAACATATGTGATGTTATGGGGCCGTTAAAGTCAATAGAATGTAAAGCAGTTTAATCCACGCGATATACATTATTTTTCTTAATTTATAAGGTAAAAAACAAGCAAGCGACTACCTGGATTTGCAATTGCTCTTTGAAATAGGATTCAAAAACGTTATCATATATTTTTTAATTTAGGTGGACATAGTTCTCGCTCACGGTGTAACCAGCAAAGACGAGAAGCAATGGGGACGGGGGAAGTCTTTCATCCCGGAGCGCTGGTGCAGCGAGGGCTGGGAGCCGCTGCGGGCGACGCGGGCACACCCCGCAGCATACAAGCCGTTCGGGG